TTCTGGGAACATTTTGAAACGCCCACTTAGCTCACTTGTACGTAAGATACCTCGTCACCTGACCTCGCTAATGACATAAGGATATCAAGTCTCGCGAGAGTTGGGCCGAGAGTTTAAAATGAACAAAGAAAGATGGCGGATCGGATTAGAAAGACGCCAGCGGCCCGATGTTTCATCAAGAAAATAAGCTATTTACCGCTTTCTCTGCCAAGATAACGGTATCTGGGGACTTTTAATGGGTTTTCTTACAAATGGACACGCTTTTCACTGGCACTAATATTGTATTTTTACCAGGAAAACTGGTGTCCCCAAACACACGTTCCCCGACGTCCGGGGCTTTGGGGTAGAATTATTATTTTTTTTTTTTCATTTTGCGATTTTTTGAAGCGGCGATTCCGAGAACCAACAAATTAAATTGGTGTGGCCTAACTATAATATGAAGTAACATACAACTAAAACAACCGTTGGATAGCTATTCCCTACTTTATTGGTTAGGATTTTTAATTGCATAATGCAAACTGTTGATTTTCAAAAAAACAAAACGTTCATGCCCCGCATTCCAATGCTGGAGCAGAAAAGCTTGAAATACCTACCAAAACACTTGAATAAAGACATACTGTCAGTATGGAAATGCTCTGTGCAGGTGTTAATCAAGTTAAATCCCAACAGCCAATCAGCAAGAAGTATAGAGAAAAGCTGCATGCCTATTGGTTGATGCCCTGCATTCCATTGTGATGACTCATGCCCAAACGTGGTAAACACGGCACACTAACACAGTAATACATTTGCTATAACACAGCCAAAAAACTCAAATAAAACCATTCTAAAAGCCTGTATCACAATAATTTAAAAAACGCCTAGGGGTATTTGCCCACTGTACCTCCATACCAAATTTCAGGACCTTGGGCCCTAAAATGAAGAAGCTGAATCCATTTAAAAAATGGCAGGAGAAGGAGGAGAAGGAGAAGGAGAAGAAACATCAGAAAAAGCAATATGGGTTCACCGCCACTTCGTGGTGTGGTGAACCCATAATTATACAAGGACAAGCTGTTTGAATCTCGACAGGTATTTACAAAACTGGCACTTGGCAATTATCTCCCTTTTTTTTACAAAGATACAACGACACGCACTTTAAATCTCGACAGCTTTACTTTACACTTTTGACGAGATTGTAACTACTACTAACGGAAGCAAAATTTTCACGGCCTGAGAAAAATGGACATGTTCACGGAAGTATATATTCACGGTGGTGACAGTTGCAGGAAAAAGAAAGTCCAGGAATTATTTCCTAACTGTAATGATAAGTTCACAGTACAGAGGTGACAGTGAAAACCGTGAACATTGACCCCCCGCTTGCGTTGCGGTACAGTGAAAAAAAATCGGGAATTACAGCAATCAATTTACTGAGTATGTTTGCTTAGTTTCCAGATGTTTTGTACTTGTAGTTTTTAAATGAACGAAAACCGATGCGCGCACAGATGTTACTTTTGTGACAACATCAAAGTGATTTTGGTTTGTATGTTGAAAAAATACAAAAGACTAACATTCGAAGTTATTGAAATTCTTGAGTAAGAACAATCAGTTTTCTGTATCTGTATCTGTATAGCCGGTATAACCGCCTTTCGGCGTAACACACCAGCTTCGCAGGCACGCGGCGCGGCGGCAGCTGGCTATATTACACCGATCGACTTGTTACACCTAACCCTTGAACTTCTAGCTCTAGACATTGTTTAAAGCTATCTATTGACAATGCCCCTACTGTACTTGGTGACAGTGAGTTCCACTCTGCGATAGTTCTAGGAAAGAATGAATTCTTGAACACCTCAATCCTTGGTTGATAACTCTGGTACTTGAATGCGTGGCTGCGCGAGGTGACGGAGGAAAAGTGCGAGGAGGCCGGCGAGCTACAGAGTTTTGGAATGTTAAAAGCAAAGCAATGGATATTAAAACGAAAATGTTAAAATTAAATGTTGAAATTGTTAAAATGTAAAATGGTTAAAATGGTTAAAATTGTTGAAATTGTTAAAAATGTTAAAATTGTTAAAAATTGTAAAAAGGATAATTAAAAATATCCAGTGTACCGGGGTTCGAACTCGTAATGTCTGGACTTGCAGCCCTGCGCGTTACCAACCGAGCTATCTGGACACGTCTCATTACTATTTGCATTGTATGTCATATAAAGTGAACAACATGGCGGTAACGATCGCTTCAAGTACTAGTAAGGGACTTTCTAGGAGATACACTCTACAATTTTGGTGATTCTTCAGAAATCGATAACAGAATATATAATACTAGTCGGTGAAGATTGTGGAAAATTGTTGATACCGTGGCGCGCGCGCGTGCGCCGACGATACACATTAAGTACCGTTGTTTACAGTACTCGCGGGGCGCAGGTCATTGACCTCCCGCTTGCGTTGTTCCAACAGAGAAGAGTAAAATATCTGCCAGTTTTTGCGTCAGATTTTCAGTGTTTGTTAAAATCATATACAGGCATCCATGCAGCTATAATTCTTCCAACTAGTTCGTAGTTAGGTGAAATGTTTATAGGAATCACACGAATCGGTATCCAGTATCAGAGTATCATGGCCCACGGCCGAGACCGCGTGGACCAGCTGCGCTGGTACGTGAAAATGGTAGTAAATAAATTAATTAGCCAACAGCCAATCAACAGCCACATCAGCAAACATGACCACACCTGCTTGTATGCCCATATTTGGGCCTTCCCCCGAATTCCTTTCTTATTACGTCACGCGTGTACGCCCCCACAGTACTTTCCTATGGGGACCACTAAAAAGCAAATAAAACGATTGTAAAAGCTTGTATCAAAAAAATTTAAAAAACGCCTAAGGGTATTTACCCACTCTACCTCTATACGAAATTACAGGTAATTTCGCCCAAAAATGAAGGAGTTGAATCAATTTAAAGAAGTGGCAGGAGGAGGAGGAGGAGGAGAAGAAACATCAGAAAAAGCAATATGGGTTCACCACCACTTCGTGGTGTGGTGAACCCATAATAAAGCTAGCATGACAACCTCACAGAGGTTGATCATATTCTCCATCAAAAGACAGTCTTATCTTAACAAAGAAAGCCATTCAATTATCTATTCACAAATTATACAAATGAAGTACTTTGTTAAAGAGGGAGTAAGTTATTCATGTAAAGACCTCATTTGCATGATTTATGAGGAAATGCTACAATGGCATTCTTTGTTAAGATAAGACTGCCTTTTGTTAGAGAATATGATCAACTGATATAATTAATGCAAATGAAGATTGTATTTGCATAACCAGCGGGAATAATTTATAATTTGTTAGTCAGAAACATTAACATCATTTCGCGAAGGTATGAGATCGTGTAATGTGCGTGTGTCTGTGTGTGCGTGTTTCCGCACATTTGTAGTCAGCATAACTCCAGAACGCCTATATGGATTGTGGTGATATTTGGTATGTTGGTAGGTCATAGGAAAACAAAGGTCAAGGTCAAATATGGGCCTCCTGGGGATATGCTATGGTTGGATTTTTGGTGACCAATTGTTCCTGTCAGGAATAAGTAGTGTGGGTTTTGTCCCCCTAGCAGCTTGTTCTGGAACTGCAGGGGAGTTTCTGGCAAAATCTTTAAGTGGATATGTCCAGAAAGGAACAATGTACACACATATTTTCATCATTTTTAGTGTGCATGTAGCTTATAGAGAGATTTACATGATTAAATGCAAATCATGTAAATGAAGACGTAATTTACATAATTAATGAGGAAATTCTGTAATTACAGTGTTTTACATGATAGTATTTCATACATGTAATGTATGTAATCTACGGCAGCTGGAACATCACAGATACCAATTATGGAAATAATGTCCTAATTTGCATAATTAAGGCCACACCAATTTAATTTGTTGGTTCTCGGATTTTTTCAGGAAAAATATGAAGCGACAGGGCGAAAAAAAAATAAAAATAAAAACAGATCTAGGCATCCTATTATAGCCCCAAATGCTACGATAGGAGGTATGAAGTCAACACACCCGGCTGGTTAAAAATTTAAACAATGAATTTTGAACTTCTAATGATACTACTGCATTGAAAGATGGAATAACTGTAACAACTAGGAAGAAAAGGACTGTTTTCAACTGTTCAGGGCAAAATATGAGCATTTTGCAGGTGATTCTGAATTTTTTATTTTTTTTTGCAAATCAGGAAAAAATGAAGAGGCGAATCCGAGAACCAACAAATTAAATTGGTGTGGCCTAATGTGAAAATTCTCTGATTCTTAAAGGTAAATGATGGGAATTTTATACCATGTCTAAGTTTACATCACTGTGCATATATTATGTTAATATAATGTCATTTGCATAATCATATTGAGGACATGTTCAATTAAATTATTGCCAAGGGATAGGAATTTTACAAGCAAACTATTATAAGTTTAGAATGAATTTAGAAAACCACAAATTAAACTATAGGGTAATTACGACCTTACTTTTAATAAGACAGATACCCAAAAAACATTTACATAAACTTTTTTGGGTATCTGTCTTATTAAAAGTGAGGTCGTAATTACCCTATAGTTTAATTTGTGGTTTTCTAAATTCTAAAAGCAAACAAGAATTTGGAGATCTTATAGTAAATATATTAACATTATATTAACAAAATATGTTAACATTTACATAAACTTAACATATTTTGTAGAGGTATTATTACTATAAGATCTCCAAATTCTTGTTTGCTCTTGTTATCAATATATGTGCAGTCTGTGCTTTTAAGAATCCATGATGCACACAGTTTTTAGATCCTTTATAAAGACTGCAGAAAGGCGGTGAACTAGTCATCAGTGGAGTTGGAGGACTGAATGTAGCCCCTTGCAGGTTTCAGGAGGCAGCTGGAAAGAGTAGAAATTGGCCAAAATGAGAGATAACATGACAGTGAGTGAGGGAGTTGGTCTGCTGGAGTGTACAGTTTGACTGAATGAACCAAACTGAATGGTGTAATTACTATGATGCTCGTACTACTGACAGTTGCTGTCTTTAGATTCGCAGACAGGCCATAAAGGAGCTGCCAAATCTGTGCAGAAACAACAGCGATCACCTGATACGGATTTCAGATGTTCTGACTCAACTGCTTCAGACAGGTTTGTAGATAATATGTTGCATAAATATTAAATATGGTGCAAATTTCCAGTTGTTTGCCTTCTTGAGTGTAAATAATAGACCTGCTGGAAGGTTGATGGATTCTGAAAGTTGTCTGAAGTGAGTACATGTAGGTCACCTGAAGACGGCTGGTGTACATGTGTGTGTGTGTGTGTGTGTGTGTGCGTGCGTGCGTGCGTGCGTGTGGTTATGGGGAAGGTTCTGTATGTGTGTAAGGGACTTTAGCTTTAAGGTTCAGCTGAAAATTTGCATTATGAATGGAAGATTGAATGAAAATTTATTATTACGTCTTGCGACTACACACTGCCCATCTTATAAAACACCAACAAAGGAAAAACATCATAGTACAAAACAGTACAGTCAAATCAAGTCAAATCAAAAGGGAACATAGGAGGTGGATATACAGACATAGGTAAAGTAATGATGCACACGGTACAAAGATTCAACTCAAATAAAACATAAACAATGAATAATAGTAAGTTCCAACCTGCAAATGGTAATACATAGACACGTCAATGGTAACAACATTGAAAGTATATAATAATAATGTTTTGGGGGGATTGGAAATATGTTAACGGGAATGTCTAGCAGTTCTAGTAGATCAAGTTGTCATTTAATCCCATGACAATTTTACAAGCAAAGTAATTTTTTTTCAGAGGATCCTAGTGAGCTGAGTGTAGTTACCACCGCACTGATTGCATTATTCAAAGTTAATGCAATGGGTAAGCTTTGTCATATATTTTGTGTCGTAGAAGAAAGTTATACTGCTTCTGCTATGTCAATGTTCTTCAAGCCATCGAGTTAATCAGGCCTAGGAAAAAAAATGTTGTGTTTCCTGTTTCCCGACCGACCCTAGAAAAAAACTGCTGACCCTAACCTTTTTTTGGGGTGGACCCCTGTTGTTTGCAGCTGATCACAAACTTTTGATCTAACACCTGAATAATGAGACATTTTACAATCAGTTTTCCAACATGGACATGAAAATGAAAGTGTCCTCATGTAAGTTTCACTTTGTTAAACTGTATTGTATAAGTTGGATCACTAAAGATCGCTTAAGTTGTTTTTTTTTAAATCCTACTGACCCTAATTTTTTCAGAAACAGGAAACACAACATTTTTTTCCTATGTCTCATCAAGGTAATGTCAGGCCATTCCTATATTCCAATAGGCCACACCGATTTAATTTTATGGATGACATCCTCTGAAGACCCCCAAACTAGTGCGCACGGGCAAAAAAAAATTCTGGCCAAAAATAAAAAATGCTACTAAACCATGGGAATACAAAGCTGGTTAGTGAATTTTCGGCAGTACATGGAGGCATACATGTATACGACAAGCCGCTACATGTTGGCTTTTTGCGGAATTTATGAATCGGCACTTTACGTTGGTACTGAGTTTTTTAGTCGTGAACCCTCGGCAGCCTTGCTGCCGTCAACCATGGACTACCCAGACCTAGAGCCTCAGAGGACGTGACCTTTTTTTTTTTGAGAACAGGCGAAAATCAATGCGCGTGTGGATGTCATCCATAAAATTAAGTCAGTGTGGCCTTATACATGTAAGTCCAACACGTAAAGTATTGCATATACTGCTATCAAATGTATCCTGGCATTTCCTTTGTACATTTGAATCACAAGATACTTGTTTACTTGTATTAGTGGGCAGTAATTTACTAACTACTGGATGATGGCCGCTCCATCAGAGTAAGGCAAGTCCACAAGTTATGCTGACGTCCTTATGCTGACGCTCCTTCCTCTTGGCCTCTCTCAGTCTCAAAAGTTACTTGTGATCTCAAGAATGTTGGGAACAAGTATAACAAACTGGTGCAGGTCTTTTGTCTGTATACACCACCATGGATAAATCTAAATAGAGAGAACAACTTTAAACATTTCAATCCTGGTGGAAAATCATGCAGTTAGAACAGATCTATTGTCTCAGAACACATGCAAGATGATAGAGGGGGCAAAAACACAAGTGCGTGCAGGCACACATTAGAAATACTCTAATGTACCTGCACTGTGTAGGTGGTGTTTCCAGCCCTGCAGTAGTATGAATTTACTTCTTATCTTGGCATCAGAGAACACAGCATTCTACTACTGAGGGCTGAGAACAACTCAAGCCGTACACCACACTACTTTATTTCCTCTCTTCTCTGACAAACGAGGAAACTTGAATATGGCTGTATTCACTCTTCAATCCAGTGGCACTATCATAGTCTATGGGCTCAGTACACACACGACTAGACTGATCTGTCAGCATTATGTGTCTAAAGAGGTTAAACTTAAAGAGCCCTCTGCCCTTCCTTAAAGTGTGACCAAGGCTGCCACCAACAACCCTAATATACAACAACACCCTTGTCCAGTCACGTGACTGCCCTTGTCAGTAGCTGAAGAAAGATGGTGGATGCCATCAGGATCTGAAATCTTCCATGACTATATGGCTTATTCACCACAGATTGTCACGTGACTCTTCCCCCCCCCCCGGCAACGAGCCTTGTCCGCCATTTGGGGGTGCAGCATGGTGCCTATCGCTATGGTACGCTATGCAAACTCTTGGTGATAGTTGCGTATTTTGGGCCACAATCTACGTTTTGAACATTCTTCTTGGTCATAACATTGTCCTTGGGGTTGTTCTGGCTCCATGTCCACGTCTCATGTTCTCAAGATCGGCTTTTATCTTTTTTTGCTGATCAGAAATCGGTGTGTTTTACCCTGGTGTGGCGTAGGGGGCTGTATGATGGGAACGAGGGTAGCCATGAACACGGTAAATCTGTCGGAGCTACTTGTCCCTTTGCTCTGTGGTAAATGTCCATGTAGAACAGGGCGCTGGCAACTTGTAACACTCACCTTGTCCAGCCACAGTCGCGGCAGTGCGGACTGAGGATGGCGGCTGGCGGCCGATGGCCCTGCATTTGTTTGTTATTATTCGGTATCCAGACACAGTCTGGGGCTGTTCCAAAATAGCGACCTTTTGCATATTCAGACTACAACGTACTTGTCACCACGCAACTGCATGTCCCACAACACTCTCTACACATCCTGATACAACGCTTCCAGACTCTTAAAGGGTTTGAACCGATCCTGTGTGTAAAAAATTCTGCCCCGTGAGTACCAAATACGAAGCTAAGTCGCGTCAATGGACTCCGCTGGCGGTAGACACCGTCTCAATCAGACTGATCAAAACTCAACAAAAACTGGTCAATCCCAACAGATTTTATTTTGTTCCAGTAACGAGAGGTACGAGTGGTGGTAAACTCTTTGTGTAATAGGACAAAGGACAGTTTACCTAACGTTTGTCGGCCATTTCAACGCTTGGAAACTCGCTGTAGAGATGCACCCCAAAATGGTGTCGCATGGGACATGAGGGGTGGTGACGTCATGATGACGTGTGGTGAATAAGCTCTATATCCAAAGTCGTATTTACTAGTATCCTTCCTTTTATTGTGTTTGAAAATAAAATGTTGACCTAACGGATTAAAAAAATAGGATGTGCTCTTTTAAAACCTCGACCCAAGCAGCATAACCAGAATTAGTTTTTCTGATGTCAGACAGAAATTAAGACAATACTTGGATTGTGTTCTGCAGTGGTTAGAATATTCTTTGATCACGCATACGTCTTGATGTTGATGTTGCAGGCACCTTGAATGGACTTTTCTCTCAGATTCTCCAAGGAGAGGAGGCAGTCAGGGAATGTGCCATCAAATTTCTCAGCAGTAAACTTCCACTTGAGTTGCTAACCAAGGATGCCGAGGAGTTCTTGCTCTCAGAAACAAGAAAGGTAATAATGTTCTACATGTTGGCTGTATGTACTACATGTGTAGCACTAGTCCCAGTTCATAATTAATATACATTTACAGTACCACCATGGTAAACATAACTACGGCAGAGGAAAAATGTACACATGGCATAATTACGGGCATGCTCATGCCATGCTTACGTTTTGGGTGGACAATAGATTGACCTGTTGTTTTACAGTTTTAGCCCTGATCATGACCTGTTGTTGTACAGCTGTAGCCCTGATCATGACCTCTTGTTGTACAGCTTTAGCCCTGATCATGACCTGTTGTACAGTTTTAGCCCTGATCATGACCTGTTGTACAGTTTTAGCCCTGATCATGACCTGTTGTACAGTTTTAGCCCTGATCATGACCTGTTGTTGTACAGCTTTAGCCCAGATCATGACCTGTTGTTGTATAGTTTTAGCCCTGATCATGACCTGTTATTGTACATTTTAGACCTGATCATGACCTGTTACTGTACATTTTAGACCTGATCATGACCTGTTACTGTACATTTTAGACCTGATCATGACCTGTTATTGTACATTTTAGACCTGATCATGACCTGTTACTGTACATTTTAGACCTGATCATGACCTGTTATTGTACATTTTAGACCTGATCACTGACCTGTTACTGTACATTTTAGACCTGACTCACTGACCTGTTACTTGTACATTTTAGACCTGATCATGACCTGTTGTACAGTTTTAGCCCTGATCATGACCTGTTGTTGTACAGCTTTAGCCCTGATCATGACCTGTTGTACAGTTTTAGCCCTGATCATGACCTGTTGTACAGTTTTAGCCCTGATCATGACCTGTTGTTGTACAGTTTTAGCCCTGATCATGACCTGTTGTACAGTTTTAGCCCTGATCATGACCTGTTGTACAGTTTTAGCCCTGATCATGACCTGTTGTACAGTTTTAGCCCTGATCATGACCTGTTGTACAGTTTTAGCCCTGATCATGACCTGTTGTTGTACAGTTTTAGCCCTGATCATGACCTGTTGTTGTACATTTTAGACCTGATCATGACCTGTTACTGTACATTTTAGACCTGATCATGACCTGTTACTGTACATTTTAGACCTGATCATGACCTGTTATTGTACATTTTAGCCCTGATCATGACCTGTTGTTGTACAGTTTTAGCCCTGATCATGACCTGTTGTTGTACAGTTTTAGCCCTGATCATGACCTGTTATTGTACATTTTAGACCTGATCATGACCTGTTATTGTACATTTTAGACCTGATCATGACCTGTTGTACAGTTTTTAGCCCTGATCATGACCTGTTGTACAGTTTTAGCCCTGATCATGACCTGTTGTTGTACAGTTTTAGCCCTGATCATGACCTGTTGTTGTACAGTTTTAGCCCTGATCATGACCTGTTGTTGTACAGTTTTAGCCCTGATCATGACCTGTTATTGTACATTTTAGACCTGATCATGACCTGTTATTGTACATTTTAGACCTGATCATGACCTGTTATTGTACATTTTAGACCTGATCATGACCTGTTATTGTACATTTTAGACCTGATCATGACCTGTTATTGTACATTTTAGACCTGATCATGACCTGTTATTGTACATTTTAGACCTGATCATGACCTGTTATTGTACATTTTAGACCTGATCATGACCTGTTATTGTACATTTTAGACCTGATCATGACCTGTTATTGTACATTTTAGACCTGATCATGACCTGTTACTGTACATTTTAGACCTGATCATGACCTGTTACTGTACATTTTAGTACCTGATCATGACCTGTTATTGTACATTTTAGCCCTGATCATGACCTGTTGTTGTACAGTTTTAGCCCTGATCATGACCTGTTATTGTACATTTTAGACCTGATCATGACCTGTTATTGTACATTTTAGCCCTGATCATGACCTGTTGTTGTACAGTTTTAGCCCTGATCATACCTGTTGTTATACAGTTTTAGCCCTGATCATGACCTGTTATTGTACATTTTAGACCTGATCATGACCTGTTATTGTACATTTTAGACCTGATCATGACCTGTTATTGTACATTTTAGACCTGATCATGACCTGTTGTTGTACAGTTTTATCGGATCATGACCTGTTGTTGCAGGTCCTTGCTGATGTGACCCGTGATGAGTTTGTCACCTTTATGCACATCCTGGCTGGCCTGCAGTCCCTGCAGACAGTCAGTGGGCGGCAGCAGCTGGTGGACTTAGTGGTGGAGCAGGCAGAGCTGTCCAAACCATTCCAGGTTAGTCTGCACTTACTTTTTGTTGCTACATCTGACAGTTTTCAAAATTTATCTAGTTGCTTGATTAGCAGTTTTCTTATATATCTCATTATTACCTCAATGTCTAACCTACATTGTACATCAACGTAGAAGAAAGATGGAGCATCTAGGAATTAGCATGACATAGAGGGACAAGTTGCACAATCTCCTGTACATCCATTCAACCAGTTGGTCATGTAGAATGTTTAATTCCTCTTGTTTGTTTTGTTTGACAGGCAGATGACAGTAACTGTGTAGACAGGCTGATGGATTGTGTAAGGCAGGCAATGCCCCTGTTTTCTGTAAGTAGACACATGAATGGTGTAATTTTTCATGACATCTCCGTAGCACAGGTTATGTTTTCAGTTTGTGTGGACATGTGTTTGAGGTAGTTGCTGTGCTTGGATTGCTGTTATGTTTGGTAGGGTAGGTGTTACATGTACTATCCATCCATAAGATGCATGTTGTCATTATGCACACATGAAAATATTCTGCACATATAAAACATAGCTGAAAAATGGAAGCTGAAACTAAAGAGAAGCCTTGTTGATTTTGATTTTTTACCATCATGGCCTATCATTAAAATTGAATAATCAATCATTATGATGATAATGATTATGGTGTTTCCACATTCTGGAGTAACCCTGAACTGGAACCTTGGTTATTTTGATCCTCCACAGTAGAACAATTATTTGAAATACAATGTTCTTCATTTTGCAGAGAAATGTCCAGTCGACCAAGTTTGTTACATATGTGTGCGCAGCAGTTCTTCCCTGTTTGAATGCAGTGACGTCATCTGTAGAAGAACGAGACGTTCAGCTGGAAATTTTGAAGTTACTGGCGGAGATGTCTCCCTACTGTGGCGATGTGGACATCTCCTGTCTTACCAACCTGTACACCTGTCTGCTCGTAAGACTCCTATATTTCATTAAGCATAGAACATACTCAACTTATGTAATGTACGTACATTTGACCAAGAAGTACATGATTGTATAATAAATGCAACAAAATTAGATGTTGGAACATCAGAGTAAATGATCAGTCGTTAATTGGCAACAGCTACTTGCAGAATGCTTTTCAAATGTGTGGAATGCCAAGATTGGTGACCGATCAAAATATGTCTGCAAAGATACCTTACTGCTTAGAGAAGTGAAATGGGGATATTGTGCTATTGTTCATCTGGGAACCTTGACCAGCTTCACAAGCGGCTGACATGAAAGAGAATGTTAGACATCAGATACAACCAGGCGCAGGTGACAGCAGAGGTGAACTTCTGTATTTAACATTATTTTTAACATTCTGAGTTTCAACGTGCGTCCTTGCGGTAGGTTTAATAGAAGTTGATAACTTTGTGTGTTGTGATAGAGACAATACAGGTGTACAGGTTAGAAGTTGCAGAAGATAATGTTGACCTCTGTTGACACAGAGTTTCAGTTTATGATACGCTATTTGGGCCCAGTTGATGTAAATCGTTTATTATTTGTATCTGTGTTAATTCGAGTGCCAAAATAAAATTACTGGACAGCCTCTTTACACCCCCATGTGCCGGCCATGGCTTAACATTCATGGTTTGGGCTGTAGCAATAGAGGATGCTGAAATTTGCCATTTTTTATAATTGGTTGGCATGGGAGTGTTCTGCAGTGAAGTTTGATTACAGCACAGTAGTTGTGAAGGCATCATTGATCAGTCTGTTTCGTACCGGAATATCAGGTCCTATTGGTATAGAATCATAAGGCTGACGCTGACTTTTATCGCCACCAACATATTTAAAAAAAAGGTATCACCGATTTCTCTTGTTATTGCTGTAAACTACATGTACCTGAGAAACATTATAATATGTACTTTGTATTATGTTTACATGAGAGAACTGTATATATATATATATACTCTAATCAGCTGTGAGGTATTTAAAAAAATGACAATGTTTTTTTAACAATTTTTAGTTCGATCGTACTTCCTACATTTTCAGCGGTGCAGGTAAATTTGTCTGTTTTCCAGCATTGCCTACACCAGTGCAGGTATGCAGAAAGAAGTATTTTGAGCCCTGTAATCATATACAAAATGTACTTTATGTATATATCATGTTATATCAAAGAGTTTATTGCTTTGTTGAATTTGTCTCAGGAATATATGCCAGTCCCCCCAGCAGAAGTTGAAAATGAAGAGAATGGTGGTGTGCAGACTGGTGAACCCCAGCTACAGTTCAGCTATGTGGAGTGTCTGATGTTTGCATTTCACCAGATTGCTCGCAAAAGAACAGACTTCCTGACAGCTGAGGAGAATGCTGATAGGTTGAAGGACTTTCGTACTAGGTAAATATACATGCACCATTATGTTTTCTTTCAGCAGCTCATAGTAAATGTTCATGTACTTCAAAGTATACAGTAAAGTGATTAGGACGGATGATCATATATAAGAAAACAACGTTCTTAATAAAACATGTGACCTGTTGTGAGACACAGAACTTTGGACTGGTGCAGGTTAAGTGCAGGTATTTCTGAATTACATAAATTGTACATGTACAGTGTACATTTGTACCTACACAACTCCAAAGTTACCTCAAATCTAGCTCAATAGGTGCACTGATATATTTTTTTATTAAGAACATTGTTTTCGTATGAAAAGGAATTCAAAATTGAACCCAAAACTTACTGAACTGCACCTGAACTTTCGTCTGCAATAACTGATAAACTGTACTGGAAGAGGAACTTCATTTGCTCCACCTCCTTAAGAGGACGTCTGATGATGCTAGAATGGCATTGTTTGTTAATATAAGACTGTCTTTTGGTTGAGAATATGATAAACCGATATAATTCATGAAAATGAGGATCCTATTTGCACGATCAGGGGGAATAATCTATTATTTGTCAGCCATAAAGATTAACATCATTTGGCGAAGGTATGACGTTGGGAAACTCTAGTTTAAAATGATACACCCAGCCTTGCCATATCAAATTCTCAATGTGAATTTTGCATGATAGACAAGCATGAAACTGTTAAGCATATTGGAGCAAACATAACAACAGGTCGCTCTTATTCCTTGTCCAGGCTGCAGTTCTTTGCCAGAGGCCTTCAGGTGTACATCAAACAGCTGCGCCTTGCTCTACAGGGAAAGACGGGTGAACAGCTGAAAACTGCAGAGGTACAACATCTCATGTACCAGGATTGTTAGACTTATCCTTGTTAACAACTCTATATTGTAAGGCCAAATCTATTTGATTTCTTAGTTCTTGGATCTTTGCAGAAATATTATTGAGTGGACAGCTGCAGGTGACAAAGTAAAAGTAGAAATTGGAGATTTCAAACTTCTGGCATGTATCTAGAGCTTTTGTAAATTTATTGGCACAACTAAAGAAATGGTCTGATGTACTTCCATGGACTATTAGATAGTCAAACAGAAATATTGCAGGCCGTGAGGCTGGAAGTGCACAAACACAGTAGGAACCTAGAGCAACCACACACATAAGCACACCCAAAACAATACTCCCAGAGGTAAAACTACACCACAGCAGTTGAGTTGGTAAGCATGTAATCCTCTAACTATGCCGCCATACAATGTACCAGCTGTCTACACACCTCCCGACACACACACACGCACAGGAAGGTGAAGAGCCACTGATTTTTAAAAATTCGTGACATGACTTTCATGTCAAACATATTGCACCGAAGTTGGTAATTGATAAATTTTGCAGCAAAAATGGCTGCTGTTAGAAAGACACAAACCTTGTGTATACATGTACTTTAGTCAATTATAAAGAAAATGCTGGTACTGTGATTTTGTTATTTATTGACTGTATGAGGTATTACCACTCCAGCTACACAGAGGTCCATCTCAAGCAAATGGATGCTTCACTTTCAACACAGAACCACACCAAGAAGTAAGGATTATGAAAAATGTGAACTCAAACTTGGACCCTCCAAACCCTTTTGTCACTTTTCTTACTGTGCTACAATGTACCACAGACACCAGTTGTGGAAGAACTGGAGTGTGCACCATTGTGAGAATTAGTGTTAGTTTGACCTGAAAGCATGTCACATGTCATCAGTGATGAAAACGGAAAAAAGCCTAATACGTTGTAATGACCCAGTACGGGATAATTCATCCTATGTTTTTTTTTTTTGACAGAACAAAATCAAAGTGGTAGCACTGAGAACAACCTCCAACATCAATGTCCTTATCAAGGTAAGATTGCCTAATATGATACTACAAAATATTTCAACAGGTTCATTTTAACATGTACATGTAGCATCTACAGCTGTGACAGAAATAGCACTAACTGGAACAAAACATACCCACAGAAAATGTACCACAACCTTCTTCGTGTTTCTTATCAATGTCTGGAAAAATTGCTAATTTATAAAAGGTACAACCAACAGGAAACCACTCATCTCATCATTATTACCTTTGCCAAGAAGGTTATGTTTTTGGAGGCGTTCGTGTGTGTGTGATTTGCATAATTTATGAGGAAATTCTGTAAATCAGCTGCATTACATGAAGGACTTTTGAAGCTTGTGGCAAATGTAATTGTGAATGAGAGAAACACGGTAGATAAATTATTGATTATGTAAATTAAAACTTAATCAATAAGAAAATGTTATAATTCGACAATGGTAACTGCCTGAATGGTACTGAACGAGGTTTACAGCGCGGAAACAGCACAGACGCCATGATTGTTTTGCCGGCGTGCCAAGTACTTTGGCTAAAATTACGCTGGGAATACATTATGTACATTGTAACGTTGGAGTCAATGATAGAAAATAGGAACATAACCGTACAAAAAACATTTTACAAATAGTACAAGTATACCTGTAATAGTAAATCTTTGTAGAAAAAAGGCGGCTGAAGCGAGAGTTGTTTTACAACATAACTGGATTAAAACCGGTTCGCTCCATTTCGACTGGGCAGTCCACATACAGGACATACTGTGCAGTAAAAAAATGGACAGGGCGAATCTGAGAAATAACAAATTAAATTTGTGTGGCCTAATGGTGAAATGTTTCCAATTCAAAAATTTATTGGATAGATAAATATTTGTAGGATTTTGTTCTGTTAATGTTATCTGTAACATACTGTTGATTGATGTTCCCAGGATCTGTTTCACAACCCACCATCATACAAAAGTGCTGTAGGCTTGTCCTGGAAACCAACCACAGTAAGTACATGTACAAGTACACTACCAGAACCACACTCTTATCTCATGGGACATGTCATTTTGAATTATTGATTCAATTTGATTGAGTTTTGATCATGGTCAGAGTGGTCTGTTATGCATTGTAAATTACACCTCAGTCTTAACAAAGTGAAGTCATTTACTCTTTTGTTTGTTTCGCATAGCCAGTAAACCGCCTTTAGGCGTAACACACCAGTTTGTACATGTACATACATGTACAAGCTGTGTAAGACGGGACTGTAAGGTTTGAACAACTCACACCGGGAACTCAATAAAAATAATGTTACTATGTAATAATATTAATCAATAATAACATTATTGTAATGTAACCAGATTTCTGAACATTGTGGGCATGAACTCGCTTTTATATCTAAATGAATTTATACAGTAAATTTGAACATTATTATTTTAAGTATGTAGAGTGTATATGTAATACTGTATGTATGCATCCCTGATTTACGGCCATCTCCAGAGTTCAAAATACCCACTCTCGCCACAAAAGTCATGGCAGTGATATGATGGGGTGAATAAGCACAAGCTCAGGACACAAATCTCCCAGAGTGAAAGTATGCCATAAGTAGGCTTATTGGAGACACCAGGTTGCTTTTAACAGTTTTCAGCAGCCCAGCTTATGGCTTCTGAAATAAACTGTCAGCATGTGATTGATACCTTTACAAGACTAGTGGTCTTAGGGACTGTACGATATTTACCGGTCGTCCGGGGGTAGCGTAAAAAAATTTTTCCTAGGCCCTCCCCCCAGGTCAAAAATTTTTTTCCTAGGCCCTCCCCCCGGCTCAAAAAATTTTTCCTAGGCCCTCCCCCCGGCGTGAATCATATATAGAGAGAGTGAAATTTCGTATGGGGAGGACGAGATTTTGATTGAAAATTTTCCCCGCATGAAGCGCCGAAGGCGCGAGCCATCGCGCCGCAGGAGCCACTAGAGCCCGAGTAGGCCCGGCTTTTTTTGAGGGGGAGGGGGCATGTCCCCCCCGGAAAAAATTTGAATTTCAACCCATGTTTTGCATGTTGAGGGACAAATTTGGCAGCACAAATTTAGCTGGTACATCGAGCTATAAATTTAAAGTCAGTAATTAAGGTCAGTTAGTGTAATCGAAATAATCCTCTATCTAGCCTACCTTTCGTCCACGTCTTCCGCGTCAATTTTATTACAAACAGGGAAACAATATTGCCAAGTTACGTGTTGTTTTCAATTTAATTATGGAGAGACATAGATATAAATGTTAAAATAGTCCTTGGTTTAATAAAAATACCAAATTAATCCGTCGACATCCGACATCCACGCCGAGAAGTTCGAGCGAGTTGCGAGGCGGGACCAGCGGGTCACATTTGCCGACGCACGCACACCACTGGGAAGGGTGCGTTGAACGGCGAAAATTAATTTTCAAAATCTTCAGACAAGCCTTCCCTACATTTTTGATCGGTATCGTTTCGATAGCCGCGATTGACATGACTTTAATCCATGTAATTTGGCTGTGTAGTCCAGTTTCGCCGATTCTGGCGAAAATGCAAGATTTTGAAGGGGACTGTGGGAGATTTGGGCGAATACATTATAATAATAGGGATGGATATTATTGGAACGTAAAATTCTGCCGATTCCAATGACCGGCAAATCGCTACGATATGTATGGACAGACATTTAATCATGTTTTGATCGTGTATAAAAACGTTGTAGAGTAAAAGGGATCTTGGAAAAAATTTTTACCTAGGCCCTCCCCCAAATTAAAATATTTTTTCCTAGGCCCTCCCCCCGGCCCAATTTTTTTTTCCTAGGCCCTCCCCCCTCAGACGACCGGCCCTCCCCCCCGGTAAATATCGTACAGTCCCTTACAGTGTGCCTTCTGAAATAATCAGGTATTGATGGCAACATAAAATGTTCATGGCCAATTTAGTTTTTGGCTTAGACTGCGCACTGGTCAACCTTTGAAAAGAAGTATTTCATACCCTGAGCTACCTGGAAGTCACGCAGCAGTACCCTGATGCTCTAACTCTGAATGAATTACAGGAGGTTCATTTAATAATGTGTGATTATTTTTTTCTCTCACAGAAACCTTCAGGTGACACAGAGGGGTAAGTACCACCATCATCACATTAGTGTGTGTGTGTGTGTGTGTGTGTGTGTGTGTCACATACATGTACATTTGGCTCACTAGAAGCTTGTTCTGGAAGATGTTTTTAAGAGGATAACTCAAGAAAGGGGTGATAAATACATGTAGCTTGACATAATTAGATGACGATTATGCAACTAATCACATTTACATAGAAAATGAGGAAATTCTATATATTACCTGTTGCATTCCATATGTAGGACTATTCAACCTTGTGCATATGGCTGACATAGAGATGAGCCTTGTCAGATATAAATTATGCAACTTGATAAAGGTCTAATATTCATAATCAGAATGAGAAGATACCATATGACAGCTCTCATAAATGGTGGGCATTTGGAAGTTGAGTGAAGATGATCAACCATAAAGATATGTTTTCAGAGGCGTTCGTGTGTGTGTGTGTGTCTGTGGACACGATAACTTTAGAAGGCTTAAATGGATTGTCTTCATACTTGGTAGGTGGGTAGGTCTTGATGAGACCTGGAAATGATTAGATTTTGGGCCCCTGGTGGCTTGTTGTGGTACTGCAGTTGAACTTCCAGTTTTGATGTCTCATGATCTAGACATGCTAGGGTGACGAAATTTGAATGGTAGGTAGCTCTTATGCTGGGAAAGAAGTGACGTAGGTTTGGGCCCCCTAGTGGCTTGCTCAGGAACTGCAGGGGCGTTTCTTCAAAAATATACAAAAGAGAATAAATCAAGAACCGGTTGCATAATTTATGAGGAAACACAGGCAGATATTGATCATGCAAATTAACACTTAATTTGCATAATCAAGGAGAAAATGTTATAATTCCATAATGGTAACTGCCTGAAATTTCATACTTGGGATGTTTGAAAGTTAAGTGAAGGTGAACATCATTAAACATAACTTATTCAAATAAGGACCTCATTTGCATAATTTATGAGGAAATGATATAATGGCTTTCTTTTATGGCATTATGCAAATAAAATCCTAACCAATAATGTAGGGGATAGCTATCCAACTGTTGTATTCTTACTTATATGTCACTTCATACTATAGTTATATCAATGTAAAGCATTGTTTTCCATTGTATTTTCCTTCTTTCCCTGCACTGTCGTAAAATGTGGTGAAGCCATGCTGGCTTTGCTCCAAAGCAAATTTCGGCCTTTCTAGCTGTATTTTGTCCTTACTTTTTAGTTGTCTTAAAATCACTGTTAACTGAAGAAGTTTGCAACTCAACCTCACAACAGCGGCCACCCTACTAAAATCTGTCCTCCTCTCTCAGCAACACTGTACTGTTACTGCATGGGCCACTCTTATGTTCAGCCACCGGATTTTCTAACAGTGTTTGTATTTCATAAAGTTCAGGATCATTATATGAACTGATCTGTTGATAGGACAGAAATGCATGTGATGTTCACATGTACATGTATGCTATCATAGGTTGGAACTATTGTACACAAATATGTAGATTAGATAGCATCTTTACTGGGGCTCCACCTGTAAGAATTTTCCAATTGAAGGTAAGATTATAAGTAGTGACCAGGCTAGAAAGGATTCAAGCTTTGTACATGTATTATGATTCCAGAACAATAACTAAGCAATGCAAGCATCATGCAAAATCCTGACAACTTGCATTGTTCTATTAGTAGATGAAAAAGAGCCTACTTACATATGATTTGTTTCTTATTATCAAAAAGTAAACCACATCTGTTGCTCCATGCCTTTAGTTTAGCTGTGCATT